AGACAACGTTATTTGGTGTATTCCACCGAGGCCGCCCTGTCATTTGCTATAGGCTGAGCTGCTCTAATTCAAAACAACGACAACGTGCATCATGCTGTTGCCAGTGGCACCAACAGCTGTGGCAGCTGCTTCCAATGAATGTGTGTAAGTGTGTATGAACACGTGTTTTTGTTTTGTTTTTTTGTTGTTTTTTGTATAGGCACGTGCCCATTTGTGTTCACAGCCATGCCCGCTTAAGCACTGACAGATCTTTGAAGGGGGAAGTCTCTTATTTAACGGGTATCATGATATAATGAAAATGTCAAATGCATCCTCTGAGATTGTTTATGTAAATGAGCTTATTAAAAACTTACAGGGGTTGCCATGGAGAAGAGGGAAACGGGATGCTCAGCATGGGGTTTCACAACTCGAATAAGGCCCTGGGAACCCATCATTTCCCCACTAATATGTTGACTGTGTAGGAATAATTCCCAGTTTGTTTCGACCCAGTCATACTGGAAGCATCAACCTAATAAGCACGTTTTTTTTTTAGTTTGTTTTTTTTGTTTTTTAATCACCAGCACTCCTGCAGCTGATCTCAGATCTCTGCCCTTAAACGCTCTCTCCCCGTTCTAATTTCTTTCTCCTTTTTAAGGTTGGTTCCTATCTTTACGCCATCCTCATCGTTCCTCTGCTCGCCTTTGTTGTTTCGTTTCCTTGTACCTTCTTCCATTGTTTAATCTCCGCTTCACCCCTCCTCCTCCCACCTGCTCAGTATTCAGACTTTATTTCATTTCATGAAGGGTCCATCTCACAGCCTGCACACACACACACACACACACACACACACACACACACACACACACACACACACACACTAAACCCTGATATTGTGTTGATAACTGTCACTCATAAATCATTAACCTTGAGGCATCCACTTATAAAAAGATTTCTATCTCTATCTCTATCTCTTCCAATCTACATATCTCTCTCTCTCTCTCTTTCTCACTCTCTCCCCAACACACACACACACACACTTGTTTTGGTATCTTAATGAGGACATCTAATTGACATGATGCTTTCCCTAGGCGCTAACCCTAACCATCAAAAATAAATGCCTGATCCTTACCCTCAAACTAAACCTAACCATAACCTTATTGTAACAATGACACTAAAAACACATTTTGAGCTTCAAAAATGCCTTCAAACTCGTGTTGATGGGCATTTTGTCCCCAAGTGACTGTTGGTCCCCACGAATATAGCAGCTCGCCAATTTTCTGTCCTCACAAAGATGTCTAAACATCTAAACGCACACACACACAGAGGAAAACAGAGGCGTCAGACTGGCTGAGTAGCTGAGACTGGACTGGCTATTAGTAACATTTTAGGTTCACAGTGAAAGGTTTGTTTTTGCAAGCAGCGTATAAAAAGTGTAAAATCACTTGGATGCAGAAGCAGAAAAAGACACAGCCAATCATGCAAACAGAAATGCGCGTGTAAAATCTGCAACAAGCCTTGCCGCTCCAGCACGATCCGGTATTTACACAGCAATTAACAGCACAGCTCAGGTGCCTGTTTTTTTGCTGTTTAACCACATGAGCCAGATGTGTGTGCGTGTGTTTCTTTTTTTCACAAGGCACAAAGTCTCACGTTGCTGCTTAAAATAGTCCAGAACCCTTTTTTTTTCCATCAGTGACTATACACAGAAACTTGTGCTCCATTTCCACAGACTGATTTGACACTAATTAATTTGATGTCCCTTATAAAGCAGCAGACCTAGTTAATGGAAGGGAGCGTGCCCTTAAAAGCTGAGCGACAGAGAAAGGTGGTTCGGTGGCTCACCCTCAGGCACCTGGGAAATGGAGTTGACAGGTCTCTGTCTGTGTGCTGTTAATGGGAAGGTTGGTGTTCATGCAGCGGGTCAGGCCCCATCTCTTTTGTCTGTTAGACCGGGCGGAGATGAAGGGGGAATATATTTTCGACATGGGTAGAAGTCTTTATGCTTACAGAGGCAGGCAAAGCTTAACTGAGCCTCAGCTAATGAACCATTCACAGACCCCTTTTTCCCTAAACACCAATTGTCCAATGATGGTGAGGCAACTAGCAAAGCTATGTCAGGCTTTCATCGTCCTCACAAGCCAAAGTAGGGGGCAGGTCCTTCAATATGAGAGATAAATGACTTTAATAAGTTTAAAGAGCCTCTTTAGCCTCTAAAAGCACAAACCCAAAAGAGAAAGGAAAATATTTAATGATGTCCTCATGTGTTAGAACATAGGTTTAATAGAGTATGAGGACTATTAGCATATTATTAACAAAACACAATACTTTAACATGAGTCACATAGACAATAAGAGGTGTCCGATTTTTACATTTTCCCTATCGTTTAGCAACATGCTACGTGGCAGGGATTATGGCCAATACCTCTGCACACAACCTCAAACAAGCACACATGAACATGCAACACATAGGCCGTAGATATGTTTATGTAAATATATGCAAATTAGAGCCCAGTGCAGCCCATCTCTAATACTTTAGATGTTCCTCCTAGAATAAGTGTGTTCATATGGTTAATGAATAGTCAAAGAGCTCACTGCATTACCACTACTGCACAGAGCACATCCATTAACCCCACCCCTAACCCCTTTTCCTCTTCACAAGGTGTTGTTTATACTCGCGCTCAATTACAGCTCAGGGCCTCTGAGCTTTAACCTCTCCCTCCCTCTTTCCTCTTTCTTTCATTCGCTCACCTTGGTGTTAAAAGCTTCCCGCACAGTCTATTGTTGTGTTGTTTAAATAGACTTCTTGTTCTGGCATTCAACCATTCACCTGGATTTGGACACGCACCACAAGCCATCAAATCCCTACGGGCATTGCAATCTTAATCACACAGCTATATAGTCCTGCCGCTTTTTCTTCTTCAAATGCGTGTGCACTGAACTGTGATTTCAACTTTGCAGAATTCACGGTCTACTCAGCGAGCTCTTAACAATAGTTTTGGTCAAAGGTCAAAGTCTTAACAATGGAATCTGGGAAAACGTGTAGCCTTTGCATGCTGCATGTACAGATTCAAGTAAATGTTTCCAGCCTAACGCTGAAAGAAGAGAAAAGGTAAAGGAAAAAAGAGCTTATTATGAAAGAGGGGAAGGCTTTTTAACATCATGAACACACAAACATTTGCCTGATAGTTGACCAAATGAATCCCAGTGGAAGCCATGCTGTGTTTCACTTTTACCTTGAAGAAGAAGCACTATTAAACATGAAAAATAGCCTGAGGTCATCTGAGAAGTGTCTTCTCACTCCATCTTCTTTTATCTAGATCCACTAAAGCATCTTATCTCTGCAGACTTAGCAAAGACACTCTGTATTTATATATCAGATGAAGATTTTTAATAAGCTAGGGAGATACAAATTAATTTTATTCAGTTCATTTCACTTTTATTTATATTGCACCAAATCACAACAACAGTAGCCTCAAGGCTTTTTATATCTTAATGGCCCCACAATAATACAGGCTCATGGAGGGTCAGCTATCTGCTGTGACCTACTGGGGGTAGAGTAGGGAAAGAGGACAAAGGACACACTGTGGTAGAGAGTCAGAAGTTAATAATAACTAAGTAATTGCAAAGGGGAATATAAACCCATAAAGAGTAGAAAAGAGGTGAGTAAAGAAGTCCACCAGTCCTAACTACAAGCTTTATCAGAAAAGAAAGTTTTAAGCCTAATCTTAAAAGTAGAGAGGGTCTGCCTCCCAAATCCAAACTGGTAGCTGGCTATACCAGAGAGATGCCTGAAAGCTGAAGGCACCTTTGGAACCACGAGTAAACCAGCAGTCTGAGAGCAACATGCTCTATCGGGGTAATACTAAATCACGAGGTCTTCACGATAACCTGGGGTGTGATTATTTAAGACCGTGTGTGAGAAAAAAGATTTTAAATTCTATTATTGAATTCAAAGGAGCCAATAAAGAGAAGACCCCAAAATTTAAAAAGAATGTGCTAAGAAGCTTCAACTGGGAGTGAGCTAAGTGGGCAGATTTTAGTCAGTGATGTCCATCTTTTCATTGACAACATCCGTCTATGGATATCCAGACAGCTGAACACAAATAACCATAAACATATTCATCAAAGGGTCAGGCAGTGAGAGAGTGTGTGGGATAGATCAAGTGCTGCAGGTAATGTGCGAATGTCATTTGTAGTGTAAAAACTTTGAGTTGTCAGTAAGACTAGAAGCATTTTTACCAGTGTTTCCAGGACCACATTTTGCATAAGCAGCACACACACACTAACACACAGCTCACAGACCCACAACAAGGTCAAACCACACTGACCTGTGTCTATGCCACAGTGACAAAGACACATTGCCACTGCTGGTGGAAAAAAAAAAGTTGCCCACAGGGAGGAAGCATCAGCCGCTATCACGCAACGATTCCACCCACGAAATGATTATATAGGTTGTTTGTTCTTTCTGTCTGAAATGACTCACATAAACACTACTGATCTGGCATATATAGCAACAAAAATCTGCATTAAGTGGCAGGGGAAGTGGTGGTGGAATAAACACGCCTAACTTCCCACTGGGGAAGCTCGACTCTTGTCCAGGACCATCTTTAAGTTTCGCTTTCTGTCAAAATGTCTTCCTTAGGGTTGCGAGTAGATTATCGCCCGTTCTTCAACACACTGTTTTCCCAGCAACCATTTTGGCATGAAGTACTAGGTAAACACAGGTGTTACTAATTACATTAATGTCGTTTGATCCTGTCCTTAATTAATGTGAACAGCAGCACCTGTGTTTGTAGATTTTAATTGGAAAGGGATGCTTTGAAAAAGGTCACTGTTTAAACATGTTAGGCAGCACCATGCTCCTATGAGTTGTACGTTGTTACGGGGGGAAGGTGGAGGGGATTAACTTTGGGATATCTTTCCAAGAATAGGAAAGAAATCACCCTAAATGTTTAAATCAAATGCAGCCTTGATGTGTACAGCGGGCTAGTGAGGCTCATTCTTGTGCTTTTCGCCCTGCAGGCATTAATCAAGGCAGCTGTTACAGAATCAACCATTTCCCTGATGACAACGACTATGACACAGACAGTTCGGAGTATCTGCTACGTAAGTGTTCCCGACTTGTACATTTCGTCTGGTACCGGTAAAACTGTGTTACTCCTAAAAGGAAAAACAGGAAGTCCTCTGACATTCAGCATCTTGTCATTTGATTGTGAAAGCAGACAGATAACTCACTTATCTATGTAGAGTCAGAAAGATATACGAGACAGTGAGGTTTCACACATTTCAAAGCTTAAAGTCATTAAAGCATTATTAAACACTATTATATGTTTACAAGCAATTTTTTGGCTGTATCTATTGGATAGTCTTCATCTTTATTCTACTCATTAACTGATGTCTTAGATTTTACATTTCAGTTGCAAAATCACTGTTACAATGAGTCTAAACCAGAGTTTTCCTTGTTTTTCTTTGAAAAACTGGCTTAAACATGACTTGTGATTAGTCTGATACACAATGAATATTCTGTCACTGGAGACCCATCACTTAAAGCTGATTCAGAATCTGCCTAATATGCAAGAACAAAGGAGACTTGTCAAGTCCAAACTCAGTCCATTAGCCAGTCTAAATAAAAGGAGGGCTTAATAAAGGACTTTACAGTTGAATAAGCTCATTCATCTTTGGAAACCTGTAAAATGGCACAGTGATTCATTTTAGGGTTGGTGATAGTCAGCGAGAGTGCGTGTTGCAACCCACAGCTGATTAGCAAAGCTTTGTCACAACAAAGCCCCAAAGCATGACTAATAATGGAGCTTAAAAAACAGATCAAAGAAGAGGTTGAAAAGAAGTGGTACTGGACTCGAAAGGTTAATAAAAAATATATGTTTTATAATATATTTGATAATTTATGAAACTTGGTTGTTACATTAATTCATACAGTCTTGAAATAAACTGCATTTTTAAAGCCGTTTACAGTGACTACTCCATCCACTGCAGGTGTAGTTCGCGCCTCCAGTGTGTTCCCCATCCTCAGTACCATCCTGTTGATGCTCGGCGGGCTGTGTGTTGGGGTGGGCCGAGTCTACAACAAGACAAACAATGTGCTCCTAAGCGCTGGCATTCTCTTCGTAGCTGCAGGTGAGCTGGAGGAAACATGCACTGTCATCCATGTTTACAGTCAAGTCCAGTCTTGCATGCTGGTTTTACAAATGGAGGGAAGTAACTTGTACTTTGTCAGAGGTGCAATCATGATGATGAGCTTTATTTGCCACTAAAAAAAAGGCACCATATCCATTCTTCACATATCGTACAATACCAAGCAAAAGTCTTGCGCAGCCCCTGGTTTATTTATATTAGAAAAATGGGAACCAGGTTCAGAGAATTAGTGAGGCATATGTAGACATAGATGGAAATACTGCAAATAAGGCAAAAATAGGGTTTGTACAATTAAAATGAACTTGAAAGTCAATATTTGGTATGACCACCTTCATTTTTAACACAGCCTGAGCCACAGCAGTCTCTTAGGAAAGCTTACTTGGCATTTCTTTAAGTAGTCTTCAGGAATAGTTCTCCAGGCGTCTTGAAGGACATTCAAAGCTCTTCTTTGGATGTTGACTGCTTTTTGTTCTGATCTCCTTCAACATGATCCAACACTGCTTCAATAATGTTGTGCTCCAGGCTCTGGGAAGGCCAATCCATCACTGATAGATTTCCAGGGATCAATGTCATGCTGAAAAATGAAGAGGTTGCAAACGTTTTCCATATGTTATTATTATATGTTGGATCAAAATCAAAAAAAGGGAACAAATCTACCTAAGGGTATCAATACAGGAACTTGAACATGAATCTGAGGCAGTTTTCTATTTTCCAAATTCCATAAATTACCCAAAATACCCTGACAGAGTGGGGTTTTTTTTAAATATCTGTAGGCACTTGATATTGGATCTCTCTCCTGACCTCCTCCGCACATATTGATGAGGATTTGAACTAAAAATTTCAAATTTATCACTCAATAAGACCTCCAGTTCTTGTGTAATTTGGCATACCTCAGCCTTTGCAGGCCTGTTTCCCCAGCCATCCTTCCACTGAGACCATTTCTGAGATGGATCAACTGAAGAGTCAAATCCATCTCTCAGGTCCTGTGTCAAGTCTTAGCTGGATTTTTTCCCCCCCATTACTTAAGGACATGACTTTCAGATACTGTTTATCTGCACTGTAAAAAAAAAAAAAAAAAGTAATATAAAAGTATTTTACTGTGTATTTTACAGTTTTGTACTGTTTTTCTAGAATATCATTAAATTTACATAAATAGACTGTGATTTTACATTTCAAATGTAAATTAAATGTAAATTAACGTAAAATCAGTGTAAATGTAATAAAACATAATTTTCTTGTTTTTTAAATGTATTTGTCTGTACATATGCAAATTTAGATAGCTTCTTAGGACTTCCACTTCTTCTTTGGTCCTCTGCTTGTGCAGTTGCCCTTTCAAGGACACACTGTGCACTTATCTAGGAATAATCTAGTTGGTACAATACTACGATTTACTTTTGTTGAACTCTGCTATTTTTGTAGATTCTGCTAAAGAGGGAAGTAATTATAGGTTTTGTTTGTGACAGTAACAAAGAGGCTAATGATTCAATTCAAAATTGTTTCTTTGCTGTTGCCTGTTATGTGTAGATACAATAATTGTTAATCCCCTGAGCTAGGTGCCTTTTTTATGCTTCAGTGAGTCATAGGTTAGTGTTAAGTGGCTTAACAAAGAAAAGTAATCCAGTGAAAATAGTCAGATACAAAGACTGGACTGAAAAAACAGCAAACGCTCCCATACAAAAAAAAACAAAAATTTTTTTAAAGACCTTCAGAAAGCCTGGAGAACTGTTGTTAAAGACCACTTTAAGATATTACAAGCAAGTTTGGAAGCAACATATAAATAAATAAGGTGGTGGCTCAAGATTCTCTGTACTGTAAGAATCAGAGTGTACACATTTAGAACCTCTGTTGTGACGAGAGCCTGTAAACGCTGGTTGTTGAAGTTTCTCGTGTTACTGAGCCTCACCTTTCATCTGTTTCTTGTTTATCAGGTCTGAGCAACATCATTGGCATCATCGTCTACATCTCAAGCAATGCAGGAGATCCCAGTGACAAACGTGATGATGACAAGAAGTACACTTACTCCTACGGCTGGTCCTTCTACTTTGGCGCCCTCTCCTTCATTGTAGCCGAAACTGTGGCCGTCCTCGCCATCAACATCTACATCGAGAAAAACAAGGAAGTTCGCTGGAAGGCGCGGCGTGAGTTTATCCGTTCACTCTCCTCCTCTTCTCCATACTCAAGGATTCCGAGCTTTCGCTACCGCCGGAGGACGTCGCACGCCAGCTCTCATTCTACGGAGGCTTCCCGGGAGAACTCGCCCATTGTTGGTCTGAAGGGGGCGGCATCTTCCAGTGGGGCCCTGGATGAGTTGTCCATGTACGCCCTGGCAAGAGACAGCGTGACAGAGAACACGTACAGCCCTGAACATGAGGCTGCTGCTGAGTTCCTCCAGGTCCATAACTGTTTCCCCAATGATATAAAGGATGGGGTGAATCGCAGGACCACACCAGTGTGAGCAGTATTTTGTGTAGCTCAAAGTTTACCAGATGAAGGACAGAAAAAGAAATGAATGAATGACAAAGCGTTGGGCTAACCTGCAAGAGACTGAGCACTTGTGACAACCTGGCATTTCACAGAGAGAGTGTCCACTTTGAAAAGGACCCAAGAAAGACTGGAGGATGCTTTATCATCTGCTTTTAGAGAATATTAAAGCAGAATACAGTTAATATTGTATGTGCTGTAGCCAGTCCAACATTAGCATTATCTTTCAACTGTGCCAAAATTCTTATATGAGCAGTGTGTCAATCGCAAATGATATTTGAGTAATGGTGATTGTGCTTCGTGGGTAAACCTGAGAGGGAAGAGATGTGCCATTCAGCAGTATTCTGCCCACAAATTAAATACCAAGGTGCTAACTGATATGTGCTCTTCACCATAAAGGTGTTCCCTTTGTGTGTGCGCGTGGGTGAAGTTTCTCTTCATTGCTTTCTGACAGGCAGGATCTGTGAGCCATGGTTAACATTTTGGAAACAAAGATATTTTCTTTTATGTCTGATCCTGTAGTTTTGTTGCATAAACCTAATCAAACAATGAGTGAAAACTGAAAAAAAGGTATAAGTAAAAAGAGTTCTTTCCCTAAAGATTTCTGCCACTGCATATAAGCGTGGCTCTTTTTCAAACTTTGCATTGTGCCCTCATACTTAGTTCTGCTCTATACTTTAATTGTGGGTTTGAATGAGAAAGTTTATGTACTGTGTCTTTATGAAACAGCTCAGTTGTAATGTATACAGTGTTTAATATTTGAGTAGTAGATTGTGCAAGTTAGAAAGGTAGCAAGGGTTTTGCCTCCCTTGCCGTCTCCTCCTTTTTTCTTTCCTTATTCTTCTCTGACATTTGTCTGTGGAGCAAAATGTCCTTTTCTTTGTCACTGGAGCACCTCTTTTCAATGGTCCTTTTTTTTTTGCCTACTTCCATATCTGCCTGCGATCCTTCCATCACACCCCCTGATGGAGGCTACATTGTGTATGTGCCTGTCACAAAAGAAGAGAAGCTGACAAAAAAGGGCTGCCCAGAACTGTGAAAACAGCACAGGTCAGGACTTCCTTTAGCTCTGAATGGAGTCTCGACATCCAGGAGGATCGGAGCCAGGCGGCAAATGTGTGTCTGTCTGTCTGTCACAAAGCCTGGCAGTCCATCTGCTAGCCCCCCACCTACCCACCCAGCCCGGCTTCTATGTCAAACAGAGGCCCCAGACAGAAGCAGAGGGAGCTGAGTGGGTCCCTGGAAGATTTGGCTATAATAACAAGATATGTGTGTTTCATCTTGCAAGTCCTTCACTGCTCTTTCTTTTAGTTTCTCAGGAAATACAGTGCAGTGTTGGCAGGTTGAACGCTTTTGAGGTCCTTGAAGAAATGGACTGTTGATAAAGATAAACCTGATTTAAAAAAAAAGACAAAATGCTGTTACGGCATTAATTTAAAGCTGTGAGCGTTTGCTTGAACTTGATCTCAGAGCCAGGTTTCTTTGGGAGTCGGCTCACTCAACCACAGAATAGTATTTGATTGTATTTAGTGCGCCTGATATTCCTTTAGAGATATCACTTCACATATCCAGCTGAGCACATGTTATATGAAGCCATCAGTATGATTTGTTCTGAGTGTAAATCTTTCACTTTTATATTACAGTGTGGGGAAAAATATGTTTGTAATGTAAAGCTGCAAAGTTGTGTATATATAAGCACAGAGAAAAAAAGCTGAATGTGCAGAGACATGAACAGAGATTCAAAGCATTATTTTACAGAACAACAATAATGCCTTGATAAATCTGGCAGTGGTTATGTGTTTCAATTGACCTTTTTATATTCAGATAAACACACGCTGTTTTTGCTGTGAATCTATTACGTATTCTGTTTTGTACGGTGAAGTGCAGTAAGTCTGTTTAGGAAGAGAAACTATATTTTCTATTCCATGTGTATGAAGCAGCTGTACCTTACTGTATGTGCTTATGTTGATTTATGGCTTACTATGGATATAAGCACATTCTTTTTCTTCATCAAGAAAATTAACTGTAAACATTTGAGGATGGATTTTCTGGAGGGAAGAGAGTCGGATGAGCTGTTTTGTTTAAATAGGCAGAGAAGAAAAAGTACATTTCCATGTTAAAACAACCAAACCGGCCACAATATCATCACTATTGTAAGGATATTTTCAGTGCCTTTGTTCGACGTATAATCTATTGTAAAACCTGCTTTTAATGTTCCAATCAAAAAGCATTTTTATTTAATCTGAATGTACACTGTTTTTGTCTCTGCCACTTTTTAGGTACTACCCCAAACATCACGTGTACAGATAAATAAACAAAATCAGGGTTAAACTGTGTGTTCAGCTGTGATTTTTAAGTGCACACTATCGTGTTCATAGTGGCATTACTAACATGCTAGTGGTACTGTTGGTATCATATCATCTTTAACAGGTTGGCGGCGAAGTTAAAAAAAAAAGTTTACAGGTCTTTATGTAGTCCCATGAAAAATTAAGCACATCCAATGAGTTTATAGCTTGTAGAAGCTATAACTGGTTACACTTTATAATAACTACACACTATTAATCATTAGTAAAGTATTAGTTTATACTTTAAAATAATGAATTAACTATTAAGTAATGCTTAACCATTCCTCAACAGTGTGTTATTATTATGAACTGCTGCCTAGTAACCTGGCATAATCATGATTTTTATCAGCCCCTCACATCACTGTGGAGGAGTTTTGACCCACTTATCTTGTGTTGCATCAGTTCATTCAGGTTTGGGGCATTTGCATATGCACAGCTCTCTCTGTCCCGCCATCATTTCACTCAAGTTGAGGTCCTGACTTTGACTGGGCCTTGCAATTTTTTTTCCTTTTCTGCGGTGCTTGTCGTCATTGTCCTGTTACCTGGCCAAGTTTCAGCCAAGATTTAGCTGTTGGACAGCTGTCCTCACAGCTGACTCTAGCATAGTTTGGTATACAGAGGAGATCATAGTCAACTCAAGGTGCCCCGGTCCTGTGGCTGTAAAACAAGCCCAAATCATCATCCCTCCACCAGCGTGCCTGACAGTTATGATGTGTTTGTGCTGATATGCTGTGTTTGATTTTCACGAAACATAGCACTGTGCTTCTCCACTTTTGGCCTCATGGTTTTGTGGTTTGCAAAGTTAAAGAAGAAGAGGCATTCTCCTGCAACCCTCCCAAACTGACTTTTTTTACTGACTTGATTGTCATGAACTTTAACATTCAAGGTGTTAACACCGGCCTGAAGAGTCTGAGATAAAGCTCTTGGGTTTGTTGCAGTTTCTCTGAACATTGCATGGTCTGACCTTGGGGCAAATTTGCTGAGACATCCACTCCTGGGAAGATTGTAGCATTGTGTTAATGCATAACTGAATGCTTCAGAGCAGCAAACTGTCAAAACTTCAGCTTTTATAGTGGTTCTCACTATAAAAGCTGAGGATCAGTTAATCAAGTGCATTTTAGGTACTATAGTTCAGGAGGTAGAGTTGGTCATCTACTATTTGCAAGTTAATTTCATACCTTTTTAAAGTAGTCTTATAGGGACAATCTTCTGTCAGAGATTTCTGTTGAGGTTTCTTTGAGTGCCACCTGTCTGTGTTCCCATTTAAGAAGTTTACACAGAGATTTAGTCTCCATGAGTTTACTTAACAAGCACGATCCTTGCTTATTTGTCATGTGGCCGCTGATGATCTGATTTTTAGAATTTGCATCAGAGACTTGCGACATGTTAGCAGACAGCTGTGATTGCACTGCTTGCTGCAGTTACACTGCCTTCTCTTCCTACTCGTTGATTAGTCATTCTGACGTTGAACCTGTTGATTTTGTGATAATAAACATTCACAGTTTAGCAAAAAAAAAAAAAAAAAAGGGGGGGGGGTGAAACAGCAGCAAACAAAATCAAAACATTACCAGATTTTTAAGAGACAACTGCATCATTGCTATGCTGGCAAGTAAAGCAAATTTATCAGCTATTTACAGCCACATGCAATCCTCTTCATGCAGCTTGTTTTTCAATGAAAGTTCAATGGTTCATTCAGATGTTTGTCTGACCTTCTCAGAGTCCTAAATGCCTCTTCTATTCAGCTGCATGAGACTGAATCACTGTCATCTTGAATAAACTATGAGCCACTTCAGCCTTGGAGGATCCACATTGTTTGACAAAGAAATAAATCAGCAGGAATCACACTGATGGCAGAGCTCTATAGATCAAAATGTTGAAAAGCTGCTGCACTCTCACTCACGGCGATACCACCTGGACATATGAAGCAATTTTTAAGAATATATATATCAAGAGTCACCCGGCTGATTCAGTCTGTGAGCAAAGGAGATGAATTGGTGATGCTAAATAAAGCTGCCCATATTTTCTTCCTCATTTCCAAAAGGCTATGTATTTTGTCAGATGTGTTGTAGCTGCTATTACTGCACAATACACCATATATGGAATATCTGCATCATGTGTGCTGGTGGATACACAGTGAGATACTCCACATTTAGCTTCGCATCCAAAATGAAAACTGCATTACTCATTTATAGGTGTAATCACACTGGTGTTGGTTCATTTTAATCTAATTAGGGGAGTTATCTTCAGATGTTAATATCTGATGTTGCTGTACAGCAGCTAAACCAACCCTTTGTAATTTCAGTCTAATTTCATTTTTCTTCAACCCATGCTCACAATTAACTCACAATTCACCATCCCAAATCCCCTTAGCTAAACCTTGCCCCATAAATCGATGGTCAAAGCTTTTGCTGGAACAAGACAAAAACGTGAGGGTGGTGCCACCGAGGCGAACGTGCGTTGTATCCAATCCCATCATTTTATAGAAGAATATTAACATGACCTTCATAGAAATGGCCTTGGGGCATGGGTAATCTAATTTAGCTTGAGTAATGTTGCCTGTCATTAGGAAATGAATACAGTTGGGTCCCTCTGAAGGCTGTGCAATCTAGTCTGGTATGGGTAAAATTAGCCACCAATTAAGGTTGTTTTTCATCCCGGAATAAAAACTCTAACAAGGAAGCTGGCTGCCATAATTGAAGTTAATCACTGCTGAGCTCAGACGTGGCAGTCCTGATTTCAGGAGAGGTGCTTTTGTACGTTTCGTTACTGTCATTGCACATTTCCAGCACTGACGGCTCACATGTGATACTCCCGGTAATGCTGATAACAATCCATCGAGTGGCACTCACAAGTGAGTCAGAGCTGCCTTCTTGCCAGATGCTGTCATCTCTTTTCAGTGTCTCTCCCCGCCGGTCGACTGGCATGGGGTGATCCCTCCAGTATGACACGGCTGTTGCTTAGAGACTGCGCCGCTGTGAGGTGTTTGGTCTCTCCACAGTCACCGGGGGATCGCGAGCAAATGAAGCAGGTCAGAGGGCCACGCTGCAAGACAGGAAGCACCAAAAGACACTATTATTACACAGTTAGAGACAAGTGGCTGCTCTCACAGACTTGACGAGCGACTGGCCCTTTGGGAGAAAAAGCAGTTTTCGCTGCAGGTGAGATGCGATAATGAACACAACTGTTTTTCATCTCCTCTGGCCCCCCACAGTGGGTGTTCTTTATTTAAGACAGATAGGAGATGATTTATCTTTTATGATCAATTTCTAGGTTGAGTTAGTTACTGATGGCTACAAAACACTCTGATCCTCACACATTAAGTTCATTTCTAAGAAGATGAGATATCAGACTGGTGTGCCAGTATTATATCCTTCATCCTCTCAAGCGACTTTCCCCTGACTTTTTCTTTTTTGTGTGCTCTTGGTTTAATGTTTTGCCTTTCAGTGGTTTAATAGCGCAGAGCTGTGTGAGTGTTGCAGGACAGAAAATGGGCCAGAGTCCTGTCTAATGTGGGTCACAGTGGTTTATTAAAAGCATGTCCATTTATTCAAGCCTTTCATAGGAAAATGGTTGATTGTGCCTTTGAAGTGCATCAGGCTTTACCAGATTTTTCCCCCATCTTCAAACAGTGTCATATTTTGTTTTTTGGTTACACCTCTAAAAGCATTTTGTATAAAATCAGATTTGGGGTATGATGAAAACACTTCTGTGTGCAGCTTTCCAAAGACACCTGTAGGATTTCAGTCTTTACACACACACACACACACACACACACACACACACACACACACACACACACACACACACACACACACACACACACACACACACGTGTGTTAAATAACACTCTTCTGTCAGTCGAATAAACCCCAAATTTTAGAGGCTTCTTTTGTGTTTTTCTGTATCTGGATCAGCTGCTGGCATCAGGTGGGACCCTTGGGTCAAACCTTGACTTCTGATTGGCTAAATAAGTAGATCAGCTTATTCAGAAGACAACTAATAGAGGACATCTTTGCCTCGGGAGTCCCCTGGCACAGAGAGCCTGAGACAATTGAGCTGGAAATGGATTGGACTGAATAAGAATATGACAGAGAGATGGGAGAGTGAATGTTCTGGATAAATGATGGATTGATCTGTATTTGGCATATCAGTGAAATATTGAAAAGCACTGTCAACATTTGCTAGAGATTTTTACTGTATCATCTTTGATGTTGCAGTCAAACTGCAAAAGTACAGATGATCAACAGACTGTAGCAAAACTTAAACTGAAAGCATCTGATCTTAACCCACTTGGTGGGTAGTGTTTAGTGTACAGGTGTCAGCTCTATCAGGTACATCGTCTACTTATATTTGAATGGCCTCAGCTCACTAAAGGCGACAAGGGAGGGAGAGGAAGAGAGGAGCGAGGTAGAAACTAGGGCACTGTTATCTGGCCCCTTTTTACCAACCACCAGGCAGAAAGCAGAGAATGAGAAAGAAAGAGCCTTGGAGAGAAGGAGAGGACACCAGCAGTGAAGTGAAGCTTTAGTCTGGACGTGGGAACCTCCAGAGTCAACATCTGACACCAAGGACCTGAAGAAAAACAGCACAAAGACAACCTTGACTGACTCGCACACTCGCAGGGACGTGCAAACCTGCGTCATTGGCTCGGAAAAGACCACAAACATGTTCGAGGAGCAGGCGACCAAGGTCAAAATCACATCCGTGGTGATCGTCGTCGGCATGTCAGCAATGCTGGCGGCGGTGGTGACTGACCACTGGGCTGTGCTCAGCCCCCGGGTGGAGAAGCTCAACGCCACCTGCGAGGCGGCCCACTTTGGCCTCTGGAGGCTCTGCAAGAAGAGCATCTTCATCGTGGAAGAGGACCCTCAGGGCAAAGGCTGCGGGCCAATCAGCTTACCTGGAGGTAAGTTGAGGTCAAGGTGATCTTCATGTCTTATTTATCTTTAATTTAATCTGATTTGTGGATTTGTTGTGTGGTAGCTG